ATGTAGAGTTATTTGCATCATCTTAAAGCTTGTTCATTTTTTTTTTCATTTGGGTGAAAAAAATATCCGTTTATCTTGAATACAAGTCGAGATATTTGCGAATGAAGGGGGTGAGGGTCACCAGTTTTCAGAGGTAAGATTAGTGAGAAAATGGCTGCCAAAGATTAGTTATTTCCTTAGCTTAAGAGTCCGTGGAAACTGAAAATTTACATTTTTTGTGCCTTGAATCAACGCTTTTATGAAACATCCAAGCAAAAATGAGTTCTTTAATAGGCATCAAAGGTGTTGAGCCAAAAAACAAAAATTTCAAAACCATTCATCAACCTGTGAAAAAATGCCAGTTTCTTCACTTTGATTATATTGACGAGTGCTTGATTCCACCGTGCTGCCTCACAAATTAAATCAACAACAGGAAAAAAAAAACCTGTTATAACGACTTGTACATGGCACACAAAAAACGTAGCCCCAAACCTAACTATAACCCTAATCCAAACCCTAACCCTAACCGGAACCCAACCCATTAAAATAACGCAAACAAAAAAAACCAAAAAAACAAGAGACCACCAAAGAAACTGGTCAGCTGGCCCCTCCTTCAACATCTCCTAACTGTGAGGCAGCGTGGTGGAATCAGGTTCTCGTCAATTTTGGGGCATGTAGAGTTACTGGTATCATCTTAAAGTTTGTTCACTTATCTTTATTTGAATGAAAAAAGTATCCATTTACCTTGAATACAAGTTGAGATATGTCTGAAAGAAGGAGTTGGGGGTCACCTGTTTTCAGAAGTAGAATTAGTGAGAAAATGGCCACAAAAGGTTAGTTATTTCCTTAGCTTAAGAGTCCGTGGTAACTTAAAATTTACTTTTTTCTGTGTCTTTAATCAACGTTTTTCAGAAAAATCCACACAGAAATGAGTTCTTTAATGGGCATGAAAGGTGTTGAGCTAAAAAAACAAAAAATTAATAAAATTCACAAACCTGCGGAAAAATGCAAGTTTCTTCATTTTGATTATTTTGACGAGAGCCTGATTCCACCACGCTGCCTCTCAATTGGTCCTTAATCAAACACTAACAAACTGACAAGATTGTTCAACACGAACAGACAGACAAGCAAGCAAGCAAAAAAACAAACAAAAAACAAAAAAACACACACAAACAAGACAAGAGACTACCAAAGAACGAAAAAAAAAACCCAAAGGAACAAACAAACAAACAAGAGACCAACAAATAAACATTGTGTGACGACATGGTCCCCACCTTCAAGCTCTCCTCCTTGGTACCCGATCAAACACTAATAAACAGACAAGATCGTTCCACAGGGACAGACAGACGGACAGACAAACAAGCAAACAGACAAACAAGATACCAACAAACAAAAACCATCACTAGTCTATCTATTGACCCCACCTTCAGCCTATTGAACTGTTGTTTTTATTTAAGAGGTCTAGACGAATGCCATAGTTGCAATGACAACAAGACTGTCGTCAATTAGTCGCGATTGGAGTGGCAGTACAAAGCAACACACGCCAGTCTATGCCCTGGATTCTGGGTGGTCATGTCAGAGACCATGACTATCCTTAACTCAAACAAACTTCAAAACAAACAAATAAACAAGACACAAAAAGAAACCAGTAGAGAACAAAAACACAAAAGTTCAACAAACAAAACACTCCCCATTGACCCCACCTTCAGCCTCTCCTCCTTGGTGCCCGAGCGGCTGAGGCGTCCGTAGAACATGGGGTTGCCCATACGGTTGTAGTCGCACACCTCAAAACTGATCTCCGCCTCCCCGCACCACGAAGCCTTCACCTCCCCCGAGCAATGTGACAAGGCCGACAGACCCAGCTGTGTGGCGTATTGGCCCGGACCCCAGCCCAGGTCCGGCATGTTTGGGAAAGGAAGACATTTGTCCTTGGCCTTGAAGAATCGAATCTTGTACAGAGCGATCCAGTCGTAGTCGTAAGTCGGGTCCTTGATGCGAGTATCTCTGCCCACGAGTTCTAGCCGGAAAGTCCCGGTGACTGGCGAGCGTATCCGAATGGTGAGTTCGTCTTTTTTCGGTCGGTGCATGAATACGTAGCGATCATACTTCGGGGAAACGCCTCCTGTGTCTTTATTTTCTTGTCGGAAAAGGAGATAGTAAAACTTGTAGTAGCGAGCGGCGTCGGGCGGCATTCCGAAACAAATCTCGACCTCCCCCGACTGCGAGCCGATGACACAATCAGAATGTGTGATGACGGACATACCCAGATTAAAGAACCTGTCTTTGAGAAAAGCCATACGCTCGAATCTCTCCAGGGTGATGGGCTCGCTGAGCAGTTGCCACTCTTTGGAGAAGGGTAGGTGTGTGGTGATGAGCTGGCGGGGGTCTGTGAGGAAATAGTTCTCATCACACACGTAGACATACTCCTTGGTGGCGAACTTGCCGTCCGCTTTCTTCTCTGACTCGTCCTCTCCGCCGTCGTCAATCTCCAGCCAGTCGTCGCTGCCTTCACTGCCTGTTGGGTGTAGAATGGTTTTTTTTTAAGTTTTAAAATGTGCACTTAGCCTTAGAGAAATAGCAATGTTGGAGTTAACTGAGATTTCATAGGAGACTACTGAGAATATCGTAGAAGGAAAAGAAATGCTTGAACATCTAGCCTTTCAAAAGTTTATTTTAAGAATCAAGCCTGTCCGATTAAAAAACAACAACAACAAAAAAACCTGTAACAGACAAATGCTTAAACAACAAATGAAAAGACCACCAGCTAGTGGAAACTTCTTTCACATTCTGTTAGGTGTAGATGTATAAAATTTAAACAAAAATAATAAATAAATAAATACATAAATAAATACATAAATAAATACAAAAATAAATAAATAAATAAATAAATATATAAATAAATAAATAAATGAATAAATGAATAAATGAATAAATAAATAAATAAATAAATAAAAAAATAAATAAATAAATAACATTGTACAGTGTAAATCCCAGCTCGACAATGAGTCCTGTGCAGTGTACAATTATTATTACCCCCAGGAGACCATAGAAATAGAACAGCCCCAAACATTTCCCACTTCCCGGGAAGCACACCGTGCAAGCAGCTGAACGGTAAAATAAAGGATTGGATGACCAGAAAGAAGCTAGCTAGATGACGTCAGAGAGCAGACGGGTGCAGACAAGGTGGACACAGAAACTTGCCGTTAACACAGAATGAAGTTGCGGGTTCGGGGGTTCGAGCCTCAGTTCGGTCCGACGTTGTGTCCTTGGGAAAGACACTTTACATGAATTTCCCACCTGGCTCGGTCCTTTCGGAGACGGTCGTTAAACTAGGAGGTCCCGCCCCTTAAATAACCTAATAGTGTTGATAGAGGCATTAACCCCATACCATTTCACCATTTCACAATTTTCACAGAATGGAAGTCGCTGTTGGAGAGCTACATCCTACAGTGGAGAGATAACACCAATAAAGAAAGATATAAAATGATTGGAACGAAGTCTGTGGTGTAGCTGTTACAGAAGAGGCACTTCGCCGTCGCACGCAGGAGACATTGGTTTGAATCCCGTGTGAGGAGAATTTTTATCGAATATCTCGACGGTGTTTCTACTGGGATGTTGTTTCCCTCCTCTCAGCCTGGGTTGTAAAAATGAGTGAGTGAATGAATAAACGAAAAAAAAATTAGTACAACTCTTATTACAACAAAGAAAAACAACCAAACCAATAAGAAAGACAATGTATCGGTAACATAGACAACCTGCCCATAACACAGTCTACTTATCGATCACATAGAAAACCTACCAGTAGCACAGAAAACTCACCGACAGATCAGATAACCTACCAGCAAACAAGGAGGTTACAATTAATAATATTATGTTTTAAGGTATTTGCCAGTAACTCAGACAACTTATCAACATCACATGACCCCCCCCCC